TATACAAAATGTTTAGCCAAATGAAAAATAACAGAAACAAATGGTAGTCTGAAGATTGCATATAGAATAAGGTGGATGAGGAATTTTCCCCAACCAAGTTCTTGATCTTTTTGTATGATTCTTGCTGTTGGGGTATTTGTCCTGATGAATCATCTGATTTTCGATTCACTATCTCAGGTCTTTTTTTTCCTCAAAAGACTATCAATATATATAATTATGACAGTATATATAGCATATATTGTTGCATTATATGGTAAGAATTCAAGTGGATTATTTCTGTCGAATTTTGAATTTTTTGACCAAATGTTCCCATTTAATTACTGGGGATTCCCTTCAACAATGTATTTCTCCTGATTATCTATGACTTCCTTCCATTTTTATTAACAAGCTTTTCTAATTCCATTACTGTAAAATTCTTTTGGCTTTGATGAGAAAGAGCAGATGTCAACAAATTTGAGGTTGTTTTAACCTCTTCCTGAGGCACCCATTTACAAAAGTTTGTTTCTTTTCCAAATGATTTGAAGATGACGATGAACAAATGGTGGTTTGAAGGAGAAAGATCTGGAGAATCAGGTGGATAAAGAAGGATTTTCTTCCAAGTTCTTCAAGATCTTTTCATCAAACTGATTCTGGACGTCCGGTGGGATCTTCATCTTCAAGGGTGAAATCTCCACCTCTGAATTTTGCAAACCATCTTCTGCAAGTTCTTTCATTCACATTCCTCTCCATAAACTGAGTGAATGTTTCTAGCCTTTGGCTGCTGAGTTTCCTTTCTTGAACTCATAAAGCATTATGTGCCTCAAATGATTTTTTGGGTACTTCCATGTTAGCAGGGTTTTAATCAAACAAAATTTAATTTTATTGTTCTCTGAAATAAAATTTGATCAGTTTAAATGCATCTAAACATAAAAATAATGTTCAGCTCCATTAGACATTATAAAAACTTTTAAATTTTTGTTCATTTTAAAAAAAAGTTAAAATTCGGACAGAACTTATGGGATGACCTGATATATAATATATATATATATATATATATATATATATATATATATTAATGATATTTTTATTAAAATTATTTTATATTGTAGTTTTTATGAAATTTTCCTAGTTTCGAGATTAATGTTTTATCTCTTCATCAGGCAATGTTCATAAGTAACTTTGGTAAAAAAAATGATTTACTTATTTTTTGCTTTTATTAAAGTTAATATGGAAGGATTATTTTAAACAAAACCATTTTTAGATCTTGATGGTTTTTTGTAATTTTTAACTGATCAGCAGGAAAGTTTACACTGAATTTTAACATTAAAAATATAAGTTAGATATGAAAATGTGTGAATTTGGTATATTTAAATTATATTAATGAAATTATGTTAACGGCTCGACAAATTACTTCAAAAAAGTTATTCATTTAAGTTACAAAGAAACATTCTTAGAAATATGTATATCTCTGACAATGGGTTAATTTTTTTTTTTTAGAATTCTAAACATATATCTTAGAACTATCTTAATGGGACTTTTGGCATGATCAAAACATATATATATATAAACATATAATATTAGACAGCATATATTTTATATATAAAGAAATAATCATAAAAAAGAATCAATCAGCAATTTAATGCGATTAATGGTTTAAATAACTTCATTTTAGAACATAATATTTTATGCATTAAAATACTGTTAATCAACTGAATGATGTGATCCTCATTTTTCTAAAATACTGTTAATCAATGAATGATGTGATCCTAAAATTAATATAATATACGCTTCTATACATCTTTACTGGAAAACTTCGATCTGGTGTAAGGTTTACCATTTTGTCTCGAAGGGTGTAGAATTAATTTCAATTTGGAACTAATTTCAAATCGATTATCCAAAACAAAAAAAAAAATTTAATTTATTTTCTTAAATTTTGATCAATAACAGATCTTCTTTTTTTTATTTTTTTTTTTTAAAAAAAAAGCTAAGCGATCTATTGTTCTTCAATCCAAAGCTTTTTTGCATTAAAAATTGCTTTTCAGATTTAAATGAATAAATTTTAAATAAGAATTTATTTTTTAACCATTTTATTCATTTTTCAACAAAAAGAAAATTAAAATTGCGAAAAAGATGAATTCTGAAAAAATTATCTTATCCACTAAGGATTTTAATAATAAATTAAAAATTAAAAAAAAACAACTCATGAATTTTTGTTTTGAATTTTCACGGAAATTGATAACTTTGATTTTAAATCAGTTGAAATTAATTCCGAGTTGAAATTAGTTCGAGTTGAAATTAGTTTTAAGTTGAAATTAATTCCGAGTTGAAATTAGTTCCGAGTTGAAATTAAAGAGGTGGTCAGGGTTCCAAGTGTTAATGATTAACCAGACTAGCCAAATGTTACTGTTTCTCGAACCAGTGTATTTCAAATGGTTGCTTTTACTGAAACCAGGTCATTGAGGAATTTTAATTTAGAAATAGCGCATTTTGAAACGTTGACCTTTCTTAATACCTGTATCCTGCAAAGTGTTCCTTTTGTGGGCATTGAAAATTTTGTCTTTTCTAAACTTTTAAATTATTGAATATTATTTTTCTAAACAAAAAGCAGCAATTTTTTTTTTTTAATTTTTAAACCATCATTATATTTTTGATGCTAACCCCATATTTACAAATAAGCCTACTTGATGTCAGTTTTCCACTGACACATAAAGTGGATTGATTATATTAAAAGCAAAGCTAGGTTGTTACTACGAAAGATCGTTCATTGCATTCGAACAAAAACAATTCCTTTAACCAGAATCCATCTTGCACGTTTATTAATCTATCATTCATTGAAATATAATAGGAAAAAAAAGAATTAATTTCAGTTCGGAACTAATTTCAACTCGGAACTAATTAATGGAAGTTGCGTTCCAGAAAAAAATGAATTCTGAATTATCTTATCTTACTAAGGATTTTTAAGGCTAAATTAAAAAATTAAATCACCAACTCTCATTGCATTTTGTTTGGGATTCACGATTTTTTGATAACTTTGATTTTTAAATCAAGTTGAAATTATTTCCGTTTGAAATTATTTCGAGTTGAAATTAATTTGTTGAAATTAATTCCCAGTTGAAATTAATTCTTTTTTTACCTTCAAGTTTTAACAAAAGTTCGGTCACTCGTCTCGCGAGATCAGAATTATTAACAGTGAATAAACAGTTCGATCCTTATATGAATAAATTTTTTAAATTAAAGAGGAATAAATAGATGAAAAGACAAATAGATAAATAGGTCTGGTTTCGTTTGGATGTTTTTTTTATCGGCATATCAAACTCTAAAGGTTATTAAATATGAATTCAAAATTTTTTTAAAATTTTATTTTCTTCAGCTACAATATTTTTTGTTCATAATTTATATTTTAATTGTAAATATTTTTTATAGATATATAGTTTACAGATGATCTATATTAAATGTTATATGTTTTGGTATAAACCTATTTCTTATTTTGATATCAAATTATATTGACTGTTTCAGTTATTTTCAAATTTTTTTTCTCAATATTTATGTCTTACAAGATCTAATAAGAGTACATTAAAAGTAAAAATGTGTCTTGTGCGTCATTGCAATTGGCCATGTTGTATATATTCATTTGATTTTCATTCAAGATTTAAAGTATGAATTTTTTGAGGTGAGTTTAATAAAATCTCTTTACTTTGAATTTTGCTTCTATCTGTTCTGCTATTCAACCCATAGATAGATAGATAGATAGATAGATAGATAGATAGATAAATAAATAAGAAGAGACTTAATAATAGATACTTTAGATAGATAGATAGATAAAAATAATAGATAGATGTTTGTGTAAAAAAAGATATGAATAATCTGTGATCGATATAAATAGCGTGATGTAGATAGCTGATAATATAAATAGTATGTGATAGATAGATAGATAGATAGATAGATAGATAGATATTTTAACAAAATTGCCTTGCAAATTACAGCGACTGTTGTGAGGTCGCATTTTGCCACAAACCCATGTCAATATATTTCGATCCAAGAGATATAACATTATAAATTTCTGCTCACAATAATAAGTCCTGTTTTTATTTCCACCAATGTCTATAGAATTCATCGATCTATAAATTTGTCAATCAATCATATCCGTTAGTTTTGCTGGAAAGCATGTATTAAATGGTATGAGTTGAATATTTTCAAATTTATCATTTTTAGTTGCTTTTCCCCCTTTGGAAAAAATCGTTCATTTCTTTCGATTTCACGAAATTTTTAAATCTGGTGCTGTTATATTTTCTTTTTCTTTCCTTTTTCTTACTTTCTTTTTTTCTTTTCTTTATTAATTTCTTTATTCTTTCCTTCTTTTTTCTTTTTGCTTTTCTCTTTCTATGTTTCCTTTAATTATTTTTTTCTTTCATTTTTCTTTTTTTTTCTTTTCTGTCTTTCTTTATTCTTTTATTTCTTTCTTTTTTATTTCTTACTTCCTTTTTTCTTTTCTCTTTCTTTCCTTCTCTCCTTCTTTCTTTCTTTCTTTCTTTCTTCATAAAACCAACCATTTCAGCCTTTTCTTTTCAATTAATCTTTTTTCCTTTATATATTTCTTTTTTAACTTTCTTTTTTCTTTAATTTTTCTTTATTTTCTCTTTCTTTCGTTTTTTTTACTTTTTCATCCTCCATTTTTTCTTTCTTTTTTTGATTTTTTTTTTTTTTTTTAAAAAAACTCTTTCTTTCATTTTTTTTTTCACTCATTTCCTTTTATTTTTATTTTTCCCATTATTTCTACTTTTTCGATTCTTTTTTCTTCTTTATTTTTTGACCTTTCTTTTTCTTGTTCTCTTTCTTTTCTCTTTTTTCATTTTATTTCCCATTATTATTTTTACTTTGTATTTTTCCATTCTTTTGCCTCTGTTTTCCTTCGGTTATTTTAGTTTATTTTTTTATTTTATTTTATTTTATTTATTTATTTATTTTTTTGTTATTTTTTTATTTTTTGTTTGCTACCTTTTTTCCTCTTTCCTTTCTGGGATTACGATTATATCATGTGGAAACACCTGTACCCGTATATCACCGAAGTTAAGCATCGTCGAGCCTTGTCAGTACCTAGATGGGTGTCCGCTTGGGAATATCATTTGCTGTAAGCTTAGGTATGCTGGGCGGTGTAATGGATAACGGATGGTGACACTTCCAGCTTCACCAGAGTTCGTTATATTCACCTCACGTGCAGATATCACCTCTTCTCTCCCTAGCTATGGGTTAATTAGTAGAACTTGTATCAGTAAATCATTATTATATCCAAAACGGACTTAGAATATCAAAATATTTATAATCTAATAAAATTTATTTTCTTGCTTTAAATAATCTGTAAAAAAGACAAGACAATCTTCTTTTTTCGTTTTTATTTTATTTTCCATTATTTTTCCTCATTTTCTATTTTCTTCTTTTATTTATTCTTTCATATTAACCCTTTCTTTCTCTTCTTTCTTTCATAATAACCTTTTTCTCTCTTTTCTTTCCTTTTCTTTTTATTTTCTTTCTTTCACATTAACCCTTTTCTTTCTTTTTTTCTTTTCTTTCTTTCATATTAACCCTTTTCTTTTTTCTTTACTTTCTTGCATATTAATACTTTCCTTTTTCTTTTCTTTCATATTAACCTTTTCCTTACTTTTTCTTTTCTTTCTTTCATATTAACCCTTTTCTTTCTTTTCTTTTCTCTTTTTCATATTAACCCTTTTCTTTCTCTAGTTTTCTCTCTTTCATATTAATCCTTTTCTTACTTTTATTTTCTTTCAAATTAACCCTTTTTCTTTCTTTTCTTTTCTCTATTTCTTATTAAACCTTTTATTTTATTTTCTTTCTTTCATATTAACAATTTTTCTTTCCTTTCATTTCTTTCTTTCATATTAATGCTTTTGTTTTTTTCTTTCTTTCATTCATATTAATCGTTTTCTTTTTTCCTTTCGTTCTTTCATATTAACCCCTTTCTTTCTCTTCATTTCTTTCTTTCTTATTAACCCTTTGATTTTTTTCTTTCTTTCACGTTAACCTTTTTCTTTCTCTACTTTTCTTTCTTTCATTCTCCCATTTTCTTTAGATTATCTTTTTCCTCTTTCTATTAAATCTGAAGATTTTCGATTGTTTGTTTACATTTCTAATTGATTATTCTTTCTTTCTTTCTTTCTTTCTTTTTTCTTTCTTTCTTTCTTTCTTTTTTGTCTTGACCCTTTCATTTCCTTCGCCTCTTTATACCCACATTTTTCTTCCTTCCTTTCTGTCTTTCTTTTCTTTCTTTCTTTCTTTCTTTTTCTTTCTTGCTTTACTAGTTTTCCCGTACCGTCAACAAATGAGAGTCATATTTAAATCATTTTGCAATCGCATTGGTCATATTTCCAGAATGAATAATTTAGAATTTTATCTATATTTTTAATTCTATTACCATAAGAAAAAAAAATGCGTTTTAAATTTTAAACCATTAAAAGTAAAAATATCGAAATAAAAAAAACTAGCATAACCCTTATCGTTAGAAAATAACGATCATATTTAAATAATTTTGCAATCGAATTGGTTGTATTTTCGGAATGAGTAATGTACGATTTTTATCCACACAGTTAAATTTATTGTCTTAAGTATGAAGAATCCCCATTTATAAATCATTTGAAGTAAAAATATTCAAAGAAACTTCATACGACCCGTGTATTCAAAAAATGAATAAGTAATTTTGCATCTGTATTGGTTAGGTGTTCTGGTAGATTAATCAAGGAGTTTCAGTCCAGACAATTACATCTATGGTAGTATATAGTAGAGAATTCCGAATTTTAAGTCATTAAAAGTAAAAAAATATTTTATCATTTCACCTCAAGCAAGGCAATATAACCATGAAGACGCAAGGGTTTGCTGACTATTAGAGAATACGAGAAAAGAAACATTATTAAGGAGAGAGAATAAGAAACGAACAGGAATGAAGAAAACAGAAGATAACGACTGTCATTGAATTAAAAAAATTTTAAAGATCAAAGTTGACTGGGAAGCAAGCAACCGGAAGAGAGCTTTATAAACAGGAAGTGCGAGAAAAGAAACTGTTTGCATTACAATTACGTCTAACTCTAAAATTATTAGGCCTTGCTCCCAATATGGTACTGCCCTAAAAATTCATAAAGTTTAGGTACCAAATAGGAAAGTTCATCATAACAATTACCAGGAAATTATCTATAGAAAAGGTAAAGTGATATTCCGTCGGAGATTGACTGAAGCCTCGGTGCTAGGTCAGGACCAATAACATTGCAGATTCTTCTTTGGGTTTTATCGAGAATCACTAAATACATAGCAGAAGTTCTAGACCAGATGTGACAGGAATATTCGTTTATAAACGCTTATGTGTAAGATATATTCTGAAGAGAAAAAATTGTCTAGCGCAACACAGAAAAACAACTTTCCAACCAGCCTGACCTAGCAATTTTTTTTTTTTTTTTTTTTTTTTTTTTGAAGGCGGGGTGATGTGACAACAGTGTCCAAAATATTCAAAGAAATATTCAAAGCCAACATAGTTCCTACCGTCAAAGATTGACGGACATAGTTTTATAACCCTTCGATTGCATTATTTATTTTGACGGGATCCATAATCTAGAATTTTTCTATGCGAGCAATTAACTATTGTCGCATACGAGATAGAATTCTACTTATGTAAATTTAACTTTAAATTTGAATTATCCAAAGTAAGCTGACATAATAACTATCGTTTAGAAAATAAAAACCCTATTTAAATAATTTTGCAAACGCACTGATTATATTTTCAGAATCTAGGGTTTTTATCTAAACTACGAATTCTGTTGTCGCGTCTAAGAAATCATTCTGCTTTTCAAATCTTTAAATGTAAAAATCAATCTAAAGAAGTCTTTAAGAAAATCATCAAATAAAAAAGCCATATCTTCCCCCCAAAACTTATAAATGCGATATGTCATTTCTGTGAAAACATGAGTAATGTTCGCTTATGAGCATCAAATACTGCCGCTTGTTATCATAACATCAAAATACCTCATTACTACAAAGAGTAGATCAGGCTGCGTAACCGATAACGATTTAAAGTCACATTGTGTTCTATATTAAAAGATACATCTATTTCTCCTCATCCAGGCGTTCTATTGCCTTCACTTTCCTTTTCATATATTTTTTTGTTTTCTTTTGTGTCCGATTATTTATTTAAAACTCGCAATTTCTTATTTTCTTCAATTATGCTTCTTGTTTTGTTTTTGTTTTGTTTTTGCTTTTATTCTTCTTTCTTATGCTGTTTCCTATTTTTCTTTCTTTCTTCTCCCCCACCACCCCGTTCATAACTTTCTTTTATATATATATATATATATATATATATATATATATATATAAATTTATTGATATATCTTAATAACGTATAGTTAATATATCTAATATATATTTTATATATATATATATATATATATATATATATATATATATATATATATACAATTTTTCAGAAGGAATATCTTTTCCAATTTTTTCTCTTTCTTTGATTACACCTCGCACTTCGCTTTTCCGATACAGTCCATTAGATACGATTACGCATGCGCAAATCATTTTTTCCCTAGTATTAATTCAAAAACCTCGCCCGCTGAAGCCCGGGCAGAGTCAGTGACTATTCCCAGTGATATTTCGTTAAAAAAGGGAAAATATCAAATCAACCATTCAAAAAAAAAAAAAAGACACGAGGCAATGTTCGTTTCTCAGGCTGAAGGCCATTTGCCTATACATTCGCATCCGATTCACTTAGAAAATCTTTGAGGATGGTGCAGTCGTTGTTCCTCTAGTAAAGACGTTGAGTTTTCGAACAAAAACTTGACCTCAGAGCGGGGAACGGCCATTCTTTCAGATATATTAGATTGATGCAAAAGTTTCCAGTTTTTATGATCTTTTTTTTTTTTTCACAATCATATTCACTCTAGACAAGGTTCAAGAGCCACTCGAGGTAGAACGTTATAGAAAAAGAAGTACAGTTTATGTTGATATGTTGGGAAGATAATGGTTACGCCTAAACTGGAACAGGTGAAGATTGTAGTAATCGAGGAAGCACCCTCTTGGGAGTTGGTTCCACAAAGCATCAGTTTGTTGGAAGAAGATGCTCAAGTGTAATTTACATTTCATCAATGGAATACCAAAGGAATAAGAAAGGAACTGAAGAATGGAAAATAATGTGTCATCCATAAGGCCGTGGGGATGAAAAAAATTAACACTGGACAGCCCCTACATCTTTAGGACTTCATCGGACGCATCTCACGAAAACTTATTCCATTTTGCCATATATATATATATATATATATATATATATATATATATATATTACATGAATCATTCATACAAAAAAAACAGATATAGAAGTTAATGATTTAAATGGCAAGAATACATCGTCGCAAACAAATTTAATAAAGTACATTAACAACGAACCTGTATATGAATGATATGATCCCTGTTTATAAATTCCAGTTGCATAAGGTCTTTTTTAGTTTTTTACAAGCTTTCGTCTGTTCCTACAGACATCCTCAGGTATGGAAATAGATTTGTTCTTGTTTTTTACTTCTCGGTAATAAGAGGACAACGAAAATATTGATGTAATCCGAAAAAATGCTTTTAGAAATGTGTTATTCTTAATTGTAAAAATTTTTGGGATATGCGGTATATGAGGATGAATTTTAAATTTTAAAAGTTTGTGCGTTTAAAATACTAATATGGTAATAGGAGAATTCTTTTGCACTGGTAGGTTTTTCAGTCAATGTGGTATGAACTAAATTGTTCAAGAAATACAGGAATGTCACAGTTATTATCCGAAAGTTTCACGTCGGATCAGTTATTTCTACTTTAATGATCGGAGACATTCCTTTATTGCCACTTTAATGATCGAGTATAATCCTTTATTCTTACATCAATGATGGGGTATTTTTATTTAAATACTTTAATGAATATTTTAATCCTTTATTCTTATATCAATGATGAATATATTTTTTTATTTTTAAAATCTGATGTTATTTTGTCTTACTATAGACATTATTTTGTAGACAATTTCATTTTATTTTTTGAAATAATAACAAATTAATAATTAACCCGTAGCTGAAGCGAGAAGAGGTGGATTCATGCCTTTCCCAAGTGTATTTGTGCGTAAGTGAATATAACGAACCCGACAGGAATTGGAACTCGACTCTTCTAATTTGCATTCCGAGCCATTACATCCAAGCTTACAGTATTTAGACTCTGGCCAAGTTCGACATTGCTTAACTTCGCTGATAAACGGGAACATTTTGTCTCAATATCTAATATAAACCATAAGCCTGATGTTCTTCAAAAATATAAATATATATATATATATATGATTCTTCTTTTACGAAGAAGGAATTGCTCTTTTTGAGGAACATGCCCTCGTTGCATAATTTTTTAAAGACAATAAAGCCACTGTGATGCAATTTTTCTCTTACGCCTGTGAGAGTGTATGAGAAAAAAATATTATTAAGGAGAAAGAACAATGAAAGCAGAGTAATTAAAAAGACGAAAGATAATAATCGATATAGCACAGAATTTTTGTAAAGATCAAAGTTGACTGGAAAGCAATAAGCCGGAAGAGATTTCTACAAGCACGATGTGAGAGAGAAGAAACTGTTAGCATAGAACTTACGGTTAGACCTAGCCATTTCAACTATAAAATGATGAGGCCATGTCGCCAATCTAGCACTGCGCTTAAAACCATAAAAATTAAGTACCAAAGAGAAAAGCTCAGCAGACCCAATATTATGGAAATATTTATAGAAAATTTACAGGGAAGCTACTGCGGTGCGAAATTGACTGAAGTGAGATAGATAGATAGATAGATAGATAGATAGATAGATAGATAGATAGATAGATAGATAGATAAAAAAGAGCCTAGATAGATAGATAGATAGATATGAACAGAATAAAGAAACAAAGAAAGAAAGAAACATACTGAGATAGAAAGAAATAGATATGAATAGTTTGAATGTTCACCACTAAATTAAGTGCATTGACAAAAGGAAAATATTTGGTATGCAAAATAAATAAATGCGTTTATCATCATCAGGCAATGAATTTACTGATAGATAAATAGATAGATAGATAGATAGATAGATAGATAGATAGATAGATAGATATGAACAGACTGAGATAAATGATAGATAGATAGATAGATAGATAGATAGAGATAGATGAAGAAGTATAAACAGACTGAGTAATGAATATACGAATAAACATAATTTTATGATGATGCTGTTTCATGCCTTAAGCGTTCATTCAACATGCTCAAGGCGTAAAACCGAAAGTTAACCTTGCAGTGTCGATTTCTCTGTCCACGTTGTTTGAACAAAACTAAAATATCACCGACAATGAAAGTTTTGTAATTAAAAAGACGAAGAAATAATCGATATATCTATAAATCACAAGAATTTTGTCATCTAAATCAAAGTTGACTAAATCACTCTATCACCGATATTGCGTCTATCTAAATCATCTAAATATATTCTCAATCTATTTTTTTCAATATCTATCAATCTATCAATCTATCTATCTATCTATCTATCTATCTATCTATCTTTATCATTGCAATTTTTGAAAAATATTTCCTTTGAATAATGAAGTACTAAATATTATTTGAAAATTATTATCTATCAAAATATCTATTTAAATATCTATCTATCATTTTTTGAAATGGATATATATATTGTATTCCATCTATAGAAACAAAAAGAAAGAAAGAAAGAAAGAAATAACTAAATTAAGTGAAATTTGAAAAAAAAATAGGAACACTTGATAGAAAATAAATAGAAATGCGTTAATAGATCATAGAGGCAATGAATTTAGATAGATTGATATAGATAGATAGATTAATAGATAGATAGATATTAGATAGATAGATAGATTTAGAATATGAAAAAATGAACAAAGAAAGAAAGAAAATAAAGAAACAGACTGAGATAGATACACTGAAAGGAACAAACTAAGATAGATAGATAGATAGATAGATAGATAGATAGATAGATAGATAGATAGATGTTAAAATAATCAGAAAGAACAGTAAAATTTACAATCCGGTGTTCTTAGTAATTATTTTTATTTTTTAAAAACAGTGCTCAATACATAAACCGTAGAGCATAATATAATTATTTTTTATCTTAAAAATATAGTGCCATCACTACCCAGGAATTACCATGTTTCAAAACAGAAACTAAAATTTTTAATTTAATTATAAAATTAAATTTAAAATCCATAGCGCCGTTCCATTCTCAAGCGATTTTTGGAATAACCTATTAAGAAATTAACTTCATTTATAAGCACAGACAATCTTAATATTTTAAATTGTTATGGTTAAAGAAAAATTCAATCATTTTTGATAAAAGGGTGTTTGGGTTTTAATTTCCCTAGACAACATGTATCAAATATAAGTTAGTTTCAAAATCAGGTTAAGTCAAGGTGGGATAGCGGTGCCTGCTCACAAACAATAACATCCGTGTTTTGTGTGTCGTCTGGATTTTTTGAATGATAAAAATTTTTGGCATTTTTATTTGGCCGCTTCATTTATAATTTTATGCACAAAGATTTCTTAAAGGGGTCATCTGAATATGAGTAAATCGTATTTTTAATATTTAAAATCTATGCCTACAAATTTAAAGTACTTTTCTACTTCCAATAACTCATAGACTATACGTTAGTTTTGCAAACAAATATATCAGAATAACATTCGTATTTTTAAAAAAAAAATTATTAATCAAAGATCAAGTATAAATATGTATGCTTCAACTTTCATATCTTTTTCAAAATTAAACATTATTTAAGGAAAATATTTAACAGCGTCTATAAAAATAGCTATTTCATTTCTTTAAGTAATTTTTTATTTTTCAGAAAATTAATAATGTATGCACAAAGGACATGATCTAGCTCTTCTTATTAATTTCTATTTTACTGTTGGTGTTTTATTGTTTTTTGTCTTTTTTTTAATTGCCAGAAATATTTAGATAGGGACACTTGATTTCTGTATTTATTATTTTTAAAGGACATTCAAAGTCTTTTGAAATCATGCTTTGTGCATCCGATTTAGATTTTAACTATGTCTAGATGTTCTGTGGATGAAATATCGCATTGATAAACCAATGAATCCATTCAATCTTTATTGTTGAGAGGACAGTTTTGAGGATTTTTACAGCATTTTTTGAGGATTACAGTTACTTAATTCTTCCTTATCCTCATTTCTTTTTATTTTAGAATCTAGATTTTTTTTTATTTTGGTCTAAGTGTTTACTCAAGATATTAGCATTATGTTTCTTACGTTACGTTGAAAGCTTGATATTAAGATTATTACCAATTATAGACAGACGCCTAAAATATTACATCGTCATCCGTCTTTGAATCTATTCTTAAAGAATCTTACTTATAACTAATACAATGGGCGCGTATATAAAAACACTTCCTATTTAAAATGGAGTGCTAGTCCACAGCGCCGGCTGACAGCACAAAGGTGACGACATTAGAACTCCTATTAGACAGACAAACATGCACATTACCATCCGATGTTTTAAAAATTCAACATACAAGAATCGTTACAAACTTGCATATATATAGAATTATCTACGGTTTTAAAGCACGTGATACAAATGAGAATCAACCCAAACAAAACTGAAAATGCCAAAGTTCTGTCTGTTTTCTCGCAATCTCTAACGAGTCGTTTATAAAAGTGAAATATGTTAGATTGATAAATGTTTGCTATTTAATCTTTATCTTATCATGTGGCCGGATTCCGATCCAGATTTGATCTGCATTTGATCGTATATATATATATATATATATATATATATATATATATATATATATATATATATATGTATATATATAGGCACGGTGGAGTAATGAATAGTGGCTTGGATTGAGGAATCAGAGCAGAGTTCGTAAATTCAGTCGAATCCATTACATTCAATTACGTGCTAATACCCTTGGGAAAGGTGTGAATCCTCTTTCTCTCCAGCTATGGGTAAATAACAGGACAGACTGGGTTTTATAGCCTTGGATGGCAACTGGTCTAGGAGAAGGACAACTCTGAATTCAAAACCTGCGGAGGGTCGTTTGGGGACCTTGTGGCACTTAGTGCACCAGGTCTCTGAATTCGGCCCTTCAAAAAGTGTGGATGGTCCTGCACGAAACCTTCACCACTATAATCAAATCTCATGTGCTGTTGTCGGGCTGTCGGTTTCCTGGGAACTGATCTGCTTGACCCTCATACGTCGAATTCGACGGGAGAGTCGACTATATATATATATATATATATATATATATATATATATATATATATGTATGTATGTATATGATGAACATTTCCGTCGTTTTCGACGTATGAGTGTCGTATATACGAGTTCCACTTGAAGTCTGGATGAGTTCAAGGCACAGAATGTTAGAATTGTTGGGTACTTTAGTACTAGTGAGCTAGCCAAAATGAGCTGACTCATCTTATAGTTCACCAGTTAGAAGGGTTAGCCAATCAGAAGGCTCAAAATATTCAATGCGACGTGTATAAAGGCGGCCATATTTTTTTTCCGAATATTAGTTGCCATCCTCTGATATCGAAGACCTGAAGAATTACTTAACAGCTGCTACTTTCTCCGAATATTCACTGCCAACCTCTGATATCGAAGACCTAAAGAATTATTGAACAGCTGCTACAAGTGATATTGGCGTTGTTCCCATTGAACACATTACGTACTGCACTGGATTCTATATTCAAAGACTACGGCAAACATGGTTAACGCAGAAGTCGCTCAATACACGGAGCGTCCACGTAGGAACGTCCAACCTTCGTGACAGGTGGCAGCTTGGGGTCCGAAATTGATTCAATATAATTTTCGAAGGTGCCACCGTGGAGTAATGGATAGCGGCGTGGATTGAAAAATCGGAGAGCCGAGTTCGAATTCCAGTTGAATCCATTACATTCACTTACGTGCTAATACCCGTTCGAATCCTCTTCTTCTCCCACCAGCTATGGGCAAATATCAGTATAGACCGGGTTCTATAGATTTGGATGGCAACTGTTCTACCGCAGAAAGAAATGGGAAAATGGGAATGCGAGAAAAATCTGCCTCGTCACTCATGATCGCCTACGCGTGTAACACGCATGGCATACAGCTGACTGATAATCTTTACCCTTCATGTCAGCTGACGTTACCCCGAGAAGACGCAAGCAATCTCTCTCCGGGATTTTAGCATGATATTATTCTTTAAATCTGGTTTTTCTTCTTCCACAATGTTTATCTTTCTTATTTCTATTCGTTTTGTCTTTAATCAGGTTCATCTCTTAGCGTACAACAGTGATCTGTACAAGAACTTCACCCATGCTGTACACTCGCCTCATGGTCTTGCAACAGTAGCTATTTTTGCCACGGTAAGTTCCCCCTTTAAATACTTCTTCCATCTCACCAAGAACATAAGTTCGTTGAAGACAGACGAGGCCTGTCCGGAATTTATCCATCCGTTTAATATAAACACCTTGGTAATATTAAAAGCCTAAACAAGAAATATTCAACTTTCATTGACCGAACAGCCAGTACCGCGGTCGATTTAAATTTATAAAACCTTTTTCTGAAAAAAATTCCAGGAAAATAAGTTTATCATGTCTGGTATCGCTCTGACCAGTATTGAGAAAGGTTTCCTTCCTAACTTTTTATTTGAAGTCGTGTGGAACGTCAACATTTTGATTATGTCATTATTTTCTAAAAAACTTACATGTGCTATTCATTTCAGTTGTTGCTGCTGTTGAAAGATTTAAGTGATGTAGTTTCTGTTATTTGTTAGTGTTATTAGCTCTTTCTAGTATTGATGGGGGTTTCCTTCCTAACCTTTTATTTGAAGTAGTCTGCATCGTCAATATTTTGATTATGTCATTATTTTCTCTTTCAGTTACATGTGCTATCCATTTCAGTTGTTGCGGCTGTTGAAAGTCCTTAAGTGATGTAGTTTCTGTTATTTGTTAATGTTATGGCTCTTTCTAGTATTGATGGGGTTTCCTTCCTAACCTTTTATTTGAAGTAGTGTGGAACGTCAACATTTTGATTATGTCATTATTTTCTCTTCGAGTTATATATGCTATCCATTTTTGTTATCGCTGCTGTTGGTAGTTCTCAGGTGATGTGGTTTGTTTTATTTAGTACATTTCTTTGTTCGTGATTCTGTAACGCCAATCTGCAATATTCAAAGAATAAAATATCCTTTACCAAAATCCGCTGCCTTCATTCATTCAAAGAAATCTTCAACCATTGAATGCGCAGTTTGTACAGCTGACAGTTTAGATATTTCTGAACAGCTTCGGCAGTATGCAGAAAATCGATATGATAGTATTGATCTGATGAAACTATTTAAGAACATGACTCAAGCTTTCAAATACGTCCGATTTTGGACCTCACATCCTGATTCCAGTATTTTTCACCAATCAAAATTGTCTGCAAAGATCCATATTCGGGATCTTCATTAACTGTCACTTAGCGTTCTCCTTTGATTTCGTCCTGAATTTGAATCTCACTTTCAACGACCATTTTAGATCTGGAAAAAAGTTAAAAGTGGGCGAGGTCAAATCTGCACTCTGGGGTGGAGGGCTGACAAATAGTTTATACGATATTTTGAAACAAAAAAAAACAGGTGGCAATAAACTTGAGGTACCATAGATAAATAAAGTTGAGTTACCGTAGATAGATAAAGTCGAGTTACGAAGATAAATAAAGTTGAGGTACAGTAGATAAATAAATTCGGGGTACCAGAGATAAATAAAGTCGGGGTACCAGAGATAAATAAAGTGGAGGTACCAGAGATAAATAAAATCGTTTTATTGTAGATAATTAAAAGTGGAGGTACCATATATAAATAAAGAGAGATACCGTATATAAATAAAGTCGAGGTACCACAGATAAAAAAAAGTCTAGGTATCGTAGATAAATAGAATCGTGGTACCATAGATAAAGTCGAGTTACCGTAGATAAATAAAGCCGAGTTACTGTAGATAAATAAAGTCGTGGTACCATAGATAATTAAAGTCGAGGTACCTTATGTAAATAAAGTCTTGGTACCATAGATAAATAAAATCGAGTTACGTAGATAAATAAAGTCGAGGTACCATAAATACATAAAGTTTAGGTACCACAGATAAATAAAATTGGTGCACCGTAGATAAACAATGTCGAGTTACGTAGATAAATAAAGTCGTGGTACAGTAGATAAATAAAGTCGTGATACCTTAGATAAATAAAGTCGAGGTACATATATCAATAAATTCGAGGTACCGTAGATAATTAAAGTCGATTTACCATAGATGAATAAAGTCGAGGTACCGTAGATAAATAAATCGAGTTGCGTAGAGAAATAAAGTCGTGATACAGTAGATAAATAAAGTCGGAGTGCCATAGATAAATAAAGCCGAGGTACCATAGATAAATAAAGTCATGATACCATAGACAAATAAAGCCGAGGTACCATAGATAAATAAAGTCGAGGTACCGTAGATAAATAAAGCCGAGGTACCATAGATAAATAAAGTCGGAGTACCTTAGACAAATAAAGCCGAGGTACCATAGATAAATAAAGTCGGAGTACCATAGACAAATAAAGCCGAGGTACCATAGATAAATAAAGCCGAGGTACCATAGATAAATAAACATGGTACTAAAGATAAATATTTAAGTTACGTAAAGAAATAAAGTCGTGATACTGTAGATAAATAAAGTCGGAGTATCATAGACAAATAAAGCCGAGGTACCATAGATAAATAAAGTCAAGGTACCATAGATAAATAAAGTCCAGGTATCATAGATAAAAAAAATTAGATGTACCGAAGGTAAATAAAGTCGAGTAACCGTAGATGGTTATGCAATATACATGCTCTCTCAATAACGTCTTACTGCCGACTGTGTAAAACCATTGCCATATGTCTTCTCAATCGTACACAGTAATGTCAACAGGTTGCATCAAGGTCACGCAACCTTTTCTCAAGATATTCAAAATTTTCGATATTCTCGGGACAGACCTCGTATTTCTATTAAACAATTTGACGGTAAATATTATCTATGGCAAGGAGCCATAGATAATTTATCAATATAGCTAATGAAGATGAAAAAAACGGACTAATCTCTGAAATAGAAAGATATTACAGATTTCGGTGGATAGTAGCGAGCGATTGGTCAGGATAATTCGTGGGTGTGGAATTCTGACACTGATAGATTACCTTTGTCGAAGTTTTAAATATAAAAATGGTGATGAATCGGTAAGACAATGGAAATTTTGAAAGTCGACACGCTTTCTGGGATAAATTCCATAGACATTTTAAGGCAGCACGAGGCAGGAGTGGACATCCATTCGCCTGCATCCTTTCTCCCGCTACCTCATAGAATCGATGCTACCACGTCTATCCCTCTCGTATAAAAAAAAAGGAATAAAAAAAAGATACCATCTTTCGTTGATATAGTCTATGGAGTGGCATTGGTATCCGAGCTCTGAAGCCAGTGAAGACACAGAAAACAACAGGGATTCAAGTTAAAATGTTGTTCGTGATTACTTTTTTTATCCCGATTTTAAGCAACGTATAATGGTATTCAACTTAGAAGGCTGCGATAAAAAGCAAGAATCAGATGGAAAAAAGACAAGCCAAGAATTAATAATGAAAATATTTAATCAATATTTTAATGTAAGAAGCTATCTATTTCTTCCTACATCACGCTACCTACTTTAAAGTTTGAAAGGTATTTTTATCTTGAATGTTTGGATTAAAAGCAACAATAGTATAAAGAATTCTACTCACCAAAAATTAATCATGAAAATGCTTCGTTTTTTAATTCAAATATTTTGACGTTAAATTATTTGTTTATCTCTACTTTCCGTTACTTTAAAGGTCGAAGGATATTCGACTCAGAAAGTTGCGATAAAATACAAGAAAAACATTAAGAAAAATACTAGGCAGAAATTAATAATAAAAAAAATATTTAATCTTATAATTCAAAGAATTTAACAAAAACTGCCTCTTTATTCCTCCTTTAAGTTAATTTAACAATTGGATCGTTTTAAATATTTATTGAGAATTCTATATTGTTTAAATGAAAGCTTTATGTAGCACTTACTAGCGGCGGACATATTCCTATCAAGTTTAAACTAGAAAATTGTCAAACAATTTTAGCTGAGCCACCTATTTTTTTTCCTTTTTATGATGCCATCAAGGACATTCTGATACACTTGCTGTTGGTCTCGGTTCAACAGGAACTCCTTGTTTTGAATGCATTCCATTCTTCCATGATGTATCCTGTTTCTCCCAAAATTGATGCGCCCAATTTCTCAGTTTGGCTTTGGCAGACAAAAATTACTGAGATCTCTTTGAGCCAAATTCATCAATTTGTCATCAATTTCACAGACAGCTAAATTTGTAATCTGAGGAATCAATACGAATCCTGGACGGGCAACATCATTTCAAGAAGATGAGATATTTAAAAGTTGAAGAGTCGTGCCACTTTAATTGAAAAAAAATGTGACAAAGATTTTTGCATTTATATATATATATATATATATATATATATATATATAAAAGTGGTTGTAGTGGTTCCAACGAGAAAAGTATGTATATTAAAAAGAAGAGGGTGCCGCAAACGTTTTTGGTTGTAATGTGGATTTATTGAGAAAAAATATTATACTTTGTTTTACATAATTTCACGACACGTGTTTCTGGTCTGGTCTCGCAACCGTCTTCAGGTGAAAGTGGAGATTTTTACATATTATTAAAAATAATTAATTTTTCTTCATGTTCAATGTGGAATATTCTCGATATGAGACATTCTGTTTGTGTGTTGGCAATCCGAATTTTCTTTCTTTGATGTAGTGCAATGGTGCAATAGTTACCAATGGTTACCAACCTTGTCTCACTAGATCAATTCCGACCAGTGGTAGTTTCGATTCCTAATTTTAATGTTTTATACTTTCGGTTTTGAGCACTCCGACGTGGTGCAATGGTTATGAAGTGTGTTTCGCCCGTTCCGTTACTACTAGTGAGTTCGATTCTTCCCCGAGTGTCCTATACTTTCGGTTTTGATTACTTTGACGTGGTGTAATGGTCAACAAGTTTGTCTTGCAAGATCAATTACGACTGAGTATTGAGTTCAAATCTTCTTCCGCGCTACAAACTTCCAGACTTGGTATATCCCTTTTAGAGTTGTATAGTGGATAGCAACCTTGTGTCGCTAGAAAAATTATGACTGAGTAGTGAGTTCGATCCTCATTGGTTGCCCCATCAAGTTTAAACCACAAAATTGCCAAACGGTTTTAGCTGAGCCACCTATTTCTTTTTCCTTTATATGAGATGTATTTTCAAAATTTATTTGATTCTCCTTCATTTACTTTTTTAAATTTTTCATATTTTTTTTTGAATGTTCTGATAAAATAAGAAAGAAATAAGATGAAGAAAATACAAAAGTCAAAAAATTAATAATGAAAATCTCAGAATTCGAAAACTTTATATTTGTTTCTTTATTTTTTTACGCTCAAAGGATATTCATCCCAGAAAGTTGTGATAGAAAAAAAACAAAAAACCGCTGAGATGAAGAAAAAACTAACGAAAAATTCATAATAAAAATAACTTGTTTTGAAATTCGAAGAATTTAATAGAAACTATTTCTTTATACCTACTTGATATTATTCTAATGATCGGGAATATTCCTTTAGTCTGGGCACCTCCAAAGACTCGTTAAAAATGCGCATCCATAATGAAAAAATGCCCCAAACTTAACAAAGACAACGTTTTATTGTCAAAATCTTTGTGTAATTGTTAAAAGGAAAGATCAAAGGTTTGTTTTTTTTATGCAAACATTATTTGTTTTTTATCCTTTTTAAGACCTTGGGAATTTTGGTTGAAAATCTTGTTTTTTTTGGCCTCAGCATGTGACCATGAATTTGTATTGAAAATCTGAACGACTTTTTGCGGTGAAAAAGACATTGATTTAGAAATTCTTGTAAGATTTCAATGAAACTTTCAGAACTTATTCAGAAGTGAATTAAATTATTTTTTAAATGTTTCTTTTTGAAAAAAGCTTGATATTTTTTTTACATCTGTTAATACTTAATTAATTTTGTGAAATTTCTAGAAATTCTTTTTTGCTGAGTTTAATGTTTATATTAGTTATCAGGAGAAGTCCTCGGAGAATTTAAATCATCATTTTTTTTCAAACGAAATCCCCGGTTACAAACAACATCTGCTCTGAATCGTCAAATAAAAAATTCAATTAAACTATGACATTTTTAATTCGAAAAGCTATAGAATGATTTAATGAATAAAATTTATTATGGCCACTGTTGTCTTGATTTCATTTTTTTTATTTTTTATTGGAATAATCTATAAATTTTAAAATATTTTAAAATTCTGTATTAATCTGTAGCGGTCAAGTGATATTGTTATCAAATAAAAAACAACCTTTATCAATCATAAATGTATAAGCTTACTACAATTGGGTGATCTCCTGCCACCACCCAGTATTTTGAAAGGAATTTTGAATTGTGCGTATTTGTGTGTGTATATAAACATGTTAATCCTTATGAATAAAAATGACAATAGGAAAACTGGTAATTGCTGACGCGTTTCGTCCAATGTGGACTTTATCAAAGCAAAATACGTCGTTCATAAATATTCATAAATATTGTCTTCTCTACTGGTTAAATCAGAGAAATTTTCATGTTAATCTTTGTAAATACGACGTCACTACACGACAGAAAATAAGAGCTGTAATTCTAGTAAATTTAAAACTTATTGGTAATTTTATATCATTTTTCCAAAAAATGCATCTTAAAAAAAGATTATAAATCCATATTAGGTAAAAAATTCAATAAAAAATTAGAAAATTTAAAATATTTTAAAATTAAGATTTTTGGGAAGTTAAATATGTATAAAAAAATTCTATTTATTTTATATAATCAATAATATATAATGAAATGACGATTATAAACAAAATAGTAAATATTCCGTTATTCCTGATTTATTGATCGGGAACATTCCTTCATTCCTACTTTAATGATCACGGACATTCCAATATTCCACCTTTAATGATCATGGACATTATTATATTCCTACTTTGAAGTTCAAGGATATTCCTTTAATGATCGGGAACATTCCATGGAAACAAAACTTTAATGAAAATGGACATTAATTTATTTTTTATTTTAAAAGATCGTAGATATTTCTTTATTCCTCATTTAATTTTATGGACATTTATTTATCCTGGAAGATTTAATGGTCATGGACATTCCTTTATTCCTACTTTAATGATCATGGACATTCATTTATTCCTACTTTAATGATCGTAATTTAAATTTATTTTTTTTTTTAATTTCGTGGATTTATTCCTTTATTCTACTTTAATGATAAATAGGTTCAAATTTTTTATAAAATACCCTTAAATGATTGGGATGAATCCAATTATCTATTCCTACTGTAATGATATATTAAAACAACCTTTACTTCCTTGATGAATAAGCATTCTTATATTCCTACATTAATGTTCTTTATATATTTTAATTTT